CATGGTTCTGAAGTCTAAAATGGAATTCTTTGGGTCATTATAGTGACTATCAAGCCAGTGCCTGCTACAGATAGATATGTGCTTCAGTCTTCATGTTCATAGGATTGTAGTTTTTGTGGGATAGTGAAATGATGGAAACAGATTTTTTTGAAGTATAAACCTCATTGTTGAGAAAATATTTGCTTTGAGTGGTTAAATTGAGCTTATAGTCAAAATTCCCATCTCATCTTGATCACTGGTTTTGTTTCCTACAGTCTAAGATTTCTAGAAAGGATCAAGTTGCCCTATTCTTTCTGTGTATACTTTTCCTACCTTTGGAATTCAAAGTCATCATTTTGAAAAGCAAGTGCTGAGCCAGCCATTTTTACTAGACTGTACAGTTCAGTGCTTTTACAAAGAAATCGTTTATTCCAGATGATATTGTAATTTCATTTTGGCTAATTCGTTTGTGGGATGTGAGTTGTGGTATGATTTATGTAGGAGTATATCCACGATGAAAGAGACATGAAATAATCAGATTGCTTCAGCCAGGTACCAATTAGTCATCAGAGGAAAATTTCCCATCATTTTGGTTTCCTTAAAATCCCAAATGCAACAATGAAACAGCCCTTTTTTCATCTATTCTCCTCCTATATGTAAATATTCATTGTTCTGATTGCAATTTACATTTTTGTTCCTTGTTCCTTCTTCACCCTTCAGTTTGCAATATAAATCTTGGGTTTTTATGAGGAGCAAAAGCCATGCCTAATAATAATAAACAACAGTATGAAATTAAGTAACGGTGCAATGAGAAACAGTTGAAACTTTTTACACAAATGCAAAATTGAACAGATTTTAATTTCAAAGCTGTAAAAAGAAACCTTTTATTTTCCAATCATGCTTCCCCTGGTAAAAAATCAAGGACATGATGTCTTTTTGGGCCAAAATCAAGGACATGTTGTCTTTTTGGGCCAACAGACAACAAACAACAGAGAAGGGAGCTGGCTTTGGGCATACCTATGACAGCAGAGTAATGCATAAAACATATTATTCTGAATTAAACACTTTCTTCAAGATTACTTTTTAATATATGAATAGTTTGGAGACTGCTCTGCTGTAGACTTTCAAATCTTTGTGTTGCATGGTGTACAATATTGGGTTGACCTGTGGTTCAGTTTTAGCCTTGTAATTCACTGGGTGATCTTGAATCAATTACTGTCTCTTACCTTGGGATTAGGAACTGTGTGTCCTGTAAGTCTTGTGTGGCCTTCCATGACTGTTCCTGTGGCCCCTGAAGTCTCTTCCCTAGAGTCCACTGGAGCCCCAGGATTATTTTAAAACAAAAACAGTGAGTTGTGACTCAGCTAAAACAATGTGCACCATTCCCCACAAACTGTGCTTGTATCCAATGCATTCTCCTCAAAACTGGAAGTGCTTCCAGCTTTATCTGAAGGTGGAAGTATGACCTGCGGGGATCCAGAGTCAGGAATGGGGCAGTGGTGGCCCTGAACCTGCCCCTCATCATAGCCCTTATCCACACTGCAGAGATAATCCAGTTTGACACTGTTTTAACTGCCATGGCTCAATGCTATGGAATTCTTGTAGCTTTTTTAGGCATTTAGCCTCTGCTGTCAGAGAGCTGTGGTGCTACAACAAACTACATTTCCCAGAATTACATAGTCTTGAACCATGGCAGTTAAAGTGCTGTTAAACTAGATTATTTCTGCAGTGTGGATCCAGCCATAGCCTAAGCTACAAGAAGGGTTGCTTAAGAATAAAGTGGTCCAAGAGCTGCCAAGAGCTTCTTCCAGGAAGTGTAAGATTAATAGACTGAAACACCTTTTTAAAATGGGTGTCATGCTGATTTCTGACCTCTCATATTACCATTGTAAAAAATTATTTCATTTTATCTCTATTATCCCCACCGTTAATCTTCCCCATTCTTTCTTATCCCTCTTCAAGATGCACTTCTATCCACAGATCCTCTAAACGCTATTATCTGGGTCTGCCAAAAGTATAACTACAGGGGACCAGGAAGTGCAAAATGAGGACATTGCCTCTATAATAATCATTCTGCCCCCTCCAATGAATTTTTTTCTTCAGTTTTCAAATTTTTAGCATTTGCAGAATGAAACATTGAAAATTGTTCACACCTAGAGCTTTTATGTTTGTTGTATTTGTATCCCCCGGTGACTCTGCCTGAACCTTTTCTTTGGAAACCTAAACTGTCTTTCTAAAAGCTCAACTGAATTGGGGACTGAAGGAAAATTTCATTGCAGGAGCAGACTTCTTATTTAGGGGACAATGCCCTCATTTTACATCCCAATAATTAGTGATTTTTACTAGTTTAATTGTTACAGATTGAGAGGCATTTAAAGTACATTAATATTAAATTTAACTAGTTTTATACCAAATGATAGCATCTTAAAATGTTGGTGTTGAGGTTTACTCACAGGGTTGTAGTTTTGGATTTCTATTATATCAAAGAAAAAGAAATACTATCCTTTGCAAAGCCACACAGGCAGTTACTTTGCAAAGAATTGCATGTGGCAGTATAAAGCTGTAACTGTCCATGGTACCTATTTGTCCACTTCCTTTTTAATACCCTTCCACAGATGTGGGCTTGCAAGCTTCAATGAGGGATAGGCAATATGCAGCTCTCCAGATTTTGTTGGTCTGCAATTCCCTACATCGCTAGCCAACATAGCCAGTGCTGATGGATGCTTTGAGCTGTAACATATGAGGAGAGACACATTTTGCCCACTCCTCTCCTGAATGTAGTTGCTCAGAGTAGACCAATTGAGTCAATGGAAGGTCTAATTGTTGATTTACCAAATTCTTATTGATACAACTAATCTACTTTAGTTGAGACTAGCCATTGGAATTGGGCCATTGGTTAGAACAGGGGTAGGCAGCCTTTCCCCTTTAAGGGCCGAGGGACTTCAGTTCCCAGAATCCCAGGAGCTATTGGCCAACATGGTACTATTGGCCAACATGGCTGAGGCTTCTGGGAGCTGAAGTCCCTCGGCCCTTAAAGGGGAAAGGTTGTCTACCCCTGGTTTAGAAGGTTCTGTAGTCCTTTGAGTAGCATCTAAGAAAAGGCAGTATTGGCTCCCAGTTATATGATCAACAGTTGTGCAGTAGATATGTGTATATGTTACTTCAAGCAGAATGAATCCCATAGGATGATTGAACACCCTGCTTTTCATATCTGTACTGAATATGTTATGGTTTATCTCTAAACTGGAGCTGTTTATTAAGTTCCTCTGATTGCATGCATGCATGCATGCATGCTCAGTATTCTGGACAATTTAATATTATTATTTTTTTGCTAGCTCAGAAAGCCAACATGTCTTCTGTAATGTGCAGTTACAAATATTGCTTGACAAACCAAAACCTGTGTCTTAGATCCAAAATCAAATGACATGTTTCATATTTGTGTGTCCTAATTTCAATTAAAATGATAAAAATAATTAGAGGGAGCCATGAATTAAAAAAGCTAATGGCCTTTTTGTTGTTCCTTACAGAGTATATGGGTCAGCACCTATGTGTTTACAATTTGCTTTGCTGCTAATGTTGGATTGTTGTACGGTGTAGTCTGCACTATACTCATAGTGGTATTCCGTTTTCCAAGGTAAGACATTTCTGCAAATATTGGAAGCATATAATTTTATCCACTTGTTAAAAATGTATCAATTTCCTCCATTTAGTGCAGAATCTGTTGCTACCCATGAATGCCAGTTTAGCTTTCATGCCTTTCTCCAGAGAACCCAGGGTTGTACAGAATCCTGATAATTGCTTGGAATTCTGGGCCCCATATTATAAAACAATGTTTTTCAGATTCCCTGAGCAGAAGAAATGACTACTAAACTACATTCTAGGCCAAAATAAGCACTAGAGATGAAACAGGGAGTTTCCAATCCTACTTTGCCTTGTTGAAACAAATATGGGATATCATTTTGTAGAAGCAAGTTGGTGGGCAGGTGAATGCCCATTTGGTTTGATCCAGACCTAGTCATGCTTTCAATAGATTTATTGAACTCAATGGCACTTAAGTTACTAATAAGTCTAACTTCCATTGAGGTTAGTGGTTCTCTTCTAAAATCTGGATCCAGTCTATTGATTCTTCCTTGCAAATATATCTAGTGCAAATGCTTCCTTGTGAAAGGTCCCCTCTTTTTCCTGCTCCTGTCAGAGGAGAGTGGAAAGGGAGCAAGGAGAAAATGGAAAGAAAAGAAAATAGGTTGCTCTCTCTTCTTTTTCCACCAAGACTTCCGCATGGGAAAGAAACAGATCTTCTTTTCCTTGCTACAGTTATCCATTATGGAAGAATGGCAGGATGGTTTCTCTTTCATGAACAAAACTTGTACAGTATGTTCAGGGCAGTGAGAAGAAGGCAGAAAAGCCAACTGTAAGAAACCTAGAGAATCTAGTGTTTATTCAAAAGTGCAGAATGCCCATCATACTATGTAATGCAATCCCATGTATGTTTACTCAAACAAAAATTTCACCCAGTTCAGTAGGATACAAATTCATCAATCAAATGATTTAGGATTCTAGTTTTTCCTGTGTTGGAAGGAGTTATGGATAGGAAACTTTCACTATACCTTCCCTGGAGAGAGAAAAGGCACATCTGACCACTGCTGAAACTGAGCATGTGCTCTCACAGTGCCTAACCCCCACACCCCCGGACACACACAGGGTATCTTCACTCTATGCTGTTTTTCTAGGCCATTAACATGGCTGAGAACAATGTAATTTTGAACTTAGAATCAGTTTATATTTCTGAAATGTGGGGAGGCTATATTAGGTGTGGCAATACCTTCCTTCTCAGTATACATCTGTGCTGCTGGTTGTTGTTGTTGTTGTTATGTGCTTTCAAGTCATTTCCATCTTATGGCGACTCTAAGGTGACCCTATTATGAGGTTTTCTTGGCAAGATTTGTTCAGAGCAGCTTTATCATTGCCTTCTCCTGAAGTTGAGAGCATGTGACTTGCCCAAGGTCAGCCAGTAGGTTTCATGGCTGAACTGGGAATTGAACCCTGGTCTTCAGAGTCACAGTCCAATACTCAAACCACTATGCCACACTACCTCTTATGCTACTGATAGTGCCCTATGGCAATGCAACTAATTGAATTTCAGGGTAGATCTAAATAGCTTTTTTTACATTTAAAAAGTATACTAACCTGTGTGCTTTGTAAATGTAGATTCAGCTGGAGATTGCTTACTTTCATGATAGTCAAGCCAAAAGATGAGCATGATTACTATGATTATTCTTAGCATGGGTGCATTCTTGAGAACATGATATTGGCACTATGATTAGAGTTTTTCTTTTGATAAAAGAGCAAGCATGTGCCTTCATGAAGTTAATAAACTGCTCTGTCTGACACACTGTAACTACCAGATAGCACAAGGAAACTGAACTTTTAAAATACCTGCCCTAGGCCATCTAAGGTGAACACTGATATATTTTCTCTTTTTATGTATTTGTTATAGAGCAACAACACTGAGCTTGAAACAGATGAAAGAAGCAGAATACCGATACAAAACAGAAACAGATAATGTAAGCTTCATCTTTTTGTTCTTATTTATATCTAAAGAAAATAAAATTTCAGCCTGGAGAATGCTCTCGTCTTTTCTGCAAACATTCACATTTCAATTCTCTGCCTCTGCTCCTTGTGTGCCTGGTTGCACCGGCACAAAGGAGCCCGTACGTGTTTTGTGGGTAATAAATGGCCACAACTTTATTCATCTGTACAGGGTCATAAAGAACGGCTTGACAGTCATAAATCTTTTGCATTGTTTAGCATCCCTTTTGACATATGTTTTATGCTCATCTCATAATTCATGGTGTAAATCATACCATGCCATAAATCAATCATATGCCAATATAATGGTTATAAATCAAGCTATAAATCATGTCATCACATCATCCATCTGACAAGAATCATAATGATTAATGAGGTCACACATGTCAAGTTGTAATCATAAATCGATCATCCATCGTAAATCATTGGATATTGATAACTCAGCTATCTTGGCAATGCCTGGCTACTAATTATTATGTGTCTATGTGACACTGTCCTAAGTTGTAACAATAGCAGCAAACTAGCAAAAATACAAAAACAACAGTTATAACTGGGACTATTGACACACATGAATGTTATATATTGTTAAACGCCAGAATGACTAACTAACACTTCACAATTCTAACTAAGGGGGGTTGCAGACTGCCAGAAATAGTGCAAATTGAGTCCACTTTTAGGGTTAGGGTTAGGGAATCATGGGAATTTTTTTTCCTGAGACATTGAGCCTTCTCTGTCAGAGAGCTCTGGTGCCAAAATAAGATACAGTTCCCATGATTCCCTAACCCTAACCCTAACCCTAAAAGTGGACTCAATTTGCACTATTTCTGGCAGTCTGCAACCCCCCTAAGACTACAACTTCCTCAGGGAGGGTGAAAAACTCATGCTCCAATAGCAATGGGAAAATTCCCTCCTGGCCCCCGAAGGTGAGGGTATGGTAAAGCAAAGTACTAAGCCGAGGGTGGGTGGGTTGTGTCTCTCGACTGCCCGGCTTGCAATGGCCGCAGCCATGTGGCTGGGGGCCTTAAATATGCCCCAAATTCTGCCCAAATCTTGCAAGACTTGAAGCCTTGTGAGATTATCAGGGTTGCTGGGGGAATCTCATGAGATCCCCTGACTGGAAGAAAGCTGCAGGAAGGGCAGGACTTCCTGCCGTTCCCAGCCAATCATGGCGTTGGCATCCTAAAATGGCCAGCGCAACCAGCGGCCCCTCCCGATGTGTTGGGGGGTCTTTCTATGGGGTGAGCAACAGAGAGAGACAGAGAGACAGAGAGACAGAGGGCCTTTACAGACTGCCAGATATAATGCAGCTTGAGACCACTTCAACTGCCCTGGCTAAGTGCTAGGGAATCATGGGAACTGTAGTTTATTGTGGCACCAGAGCTCTCTGACAGAGAAGGCTCAATGTCTCAGAAAAAACTACAATTCCCATGATTCCTAGCATTGAGCCAGGGCAGTTAAAGTGGTCTCAAGCTGCATTATTTCTGGCAGTCTGTAAAGGCCCAGAGAAAGATTATTCTCATGTATAACCTCCAAAGAGAACTCCATTAACCAAGCAACAATTGGCATGTGATTGGTACCTGCTTGGCATTCAAGACACTACTGGCTTTTATGCACATTTGTCAAGTCCACATCCACAAATAATATCCTTTTCCAGTTTCCACATCTGGCCAGTGCCCAATTGTGTCAGGTTTACTTTCCATTTAAAAATTGTATTTATTTACATTCTATTGTTTCTGCTACTGCTGAGTGCCTTCAAATCATTCCCAATTTATGGCTATCTCAAGGTGATCCTATCATACATTTTTTTGAGGGGAGGCAAAGTTTGTTCAGAGTGGGGTTGCTATTGCTTTCCTCTTAGCCCAAGAAAGTGTGATTTGCCCAATAACACATGGCTGAGCTGGGATTCAAACCCAGAGTCCTAGTCCAACGCTCAAAACACTACACTATACTGGCTCTTTCTTAAGGATTTAATAGTGTAAAATATGTCCACCTCACAGGGAATTAAGGAAGTGTGGAGTGGAATAAGCTGGTTGAACCTCACAATAAAAATTGATTCATGATGCATCCCTAATATAGTATGTTTTTTGTGGTATAAAAAATATCTAGGGGAATCTAGAGCTCTCACATTTCTACAATCTGCATATTGGCAGTTTAAACCCTTGATTCATGATGATCCTGTGGGTTGTGGGCTTAACCTGTGACTAGGCATGGAACTACCAGGTTGTGTAGTAATTTTCAATAAAGCCATGTTTGATTGTTTTTGTTAAAATGCTGTATTTTCTAAACTTTTTTTTTGTTTCAAAGGAGTCCCTACAACAGGTGAAAATAATTTCTATAAACAATCCACTAGTCTTTCTGAATGCCAAGAAGTTTCACATGGACATTTCAAAAATAATCCAGAAGGAGAGCATGTGGATACAGCAGCTACCTGAAGATATGAACAAGGTAGGGCACAGACTTTGGAAAAATGATAGTTCCCAGAATCCCTCAACCAGCATGGCCAGCACAGCCTTTGGTAAAGTATGCTTACTGATGGAGTACAGTTCATTGCATTTCTTTATACTTTTGGTTCATGATTTACATCTATATGACAAAAGAGAAATTCAAATCATACTCTAGAATTGCATCTTCTCTACTGTAGAAGTGTTTGTGTTTGACATTGTGGGAGAGCCACCATGGCTCAGAAAATACACATGAAGGCACAGGAAAATGGGAAGCTGTGAACCCGCTAGTCCATCTAGCTTACCTTTGTTTCCACCAGGATGGACAAAGTGCAATCTATGGATTGCATGTGACCCCTTGGGCTATTTCTTTGTGGCTTCCAGGGTCACCTCTTTTTGTCCAATCTTGTTGACCAGACTCAATAAAAAAGAGGTGGGTGACCTTCCAGATGTACCTGATCTGCAACTTCATAGACTGCAACTCCATGTCATCATAGACAGCAGAACCAGAGCAATGTAGTCAAATATGGACCTTGGATTTCAGGAAAGCTGATTTTAGCAAGTTCAGGGAATTGCTGGGTGGAATCCTATCACTAAGCGTGCTAAAGAAGAAGAAGAAAAAAAATCTTGGTAATGTGAGCATTCTTGAAAAATGAGTTGCAAAATGAACAATTAGAATTAATTCCATGCAAGAAGGAAAATGGGAAACATTTGAAATAGCCAAGGTGTCTGCACAGCTAATTCAAGGAGGAAGGGAAAAGAAAAATGGAGGGCAGTTCAAACTTGCAGGAATAGTGTAAAGAAAGCTAAAGCTCAGAATGAGCTGAGACTGGATAGTCAAGCAAGGAACAACAAAAAAAGTCAGATACATTTGAGGCAAGAAACACCAAGGAAACAGTGGGGCTGATGCTCAGTAATGAATGGCAAAATGCCAACAGATCACAATGAAAAGACTGAACTACTCAATACCTAGTGCTTCAGTTTTCTCCCAGTAAGAGAACTGTGTATTTTCATGCAGTAGCAGAGACCTTGGCAGGGGATTTGCAAATTTGCAAATCAAATTTGATACATAAGCACAGCAGTAAGACGTCTTTATGTTCAGTTGTGGAAAAATTCCACAAATAGGAGACTGGATGTCAAAAAATTTCAGTGTGGCAGAAATGGACAAACTGTCCATGTTGTTAAAAGAAAAAAAAATCAATTGATACATTTTTTTGAAAGATTTTAAGAGATAGTGGGAAAAAGATAATTTTTGCAGCTCTTGAAAATTAGTATATTTCATAAAAGTATAGTTAGAGATTTGATAAATTAATTTGAAGTCGTGGAAATCTACCTTGTTACTACTCATACCTGCAAAGAAAGTGGGAGGTCAGCTTTTAATATCTGTGTTATATATAGTTCAGTTTAGTTTGTTATGTGTTTGGTATAGTTAAGTAGTTTACCCCCCCCTTTTTAAAAATTTTCCCCTCTTTTCTTCTTTATTCTAGTTAGTTGTCACAATAATTGGTGTACAGTCATCCCTTCTGATTCACGGGGGATCTGTTCCAGACCCTGTGAATTGGAAAAATTGCAAACATTGGAGCGCCATTGTTTTTAATGGCTACATGGCTCTGCTCATGGCCTCACATGTGCTGTTGGCACACATACCATTTTGTCCCTCCTGGCTTCCCATCCGTGGAAATGGCTTCCCATCCATGGAAATTCAAAACAGCGAATGGGAAGTCAGCGAATCTGGAGGGACGACTGTATTTGTTTTGTAGTATATATTTTCTTCTTTTCTTTTTGTATTGCTTTTCATTGTTTTATAAATTCAATAAAAGTGCAGTATGAGAGAACTGATAGGGAGTTAGCCAAGAATCAATTAGCTATCCTTTACAAGTTCATATCTGGGGGCCAGATGAACTGCATCACAAAGGAACTTGCTGATGTACTCTCTAGACTCCATGGCATAATTTTTGAGAAATCTTGGAGAGTAGGTGAGGTGCCAAAGAACTGGAGAAGAGCAAACATGCTGTGGCTGTCATTTATCTGGATTTCAGCAGAGCATTTGATATGGTTCCCTA